ATGAATATGACTTTAGTTGGTCAATCACTGATGAAGTCGATTTCATTTAGGTGAACTGATTGTGAAGCGTGTCCGATCATAATAATGTTAATCTTTTAATTTCTGCAGCAACTTGAGTGGTTCCTGCAGTCTTTCACAATGTACGGACATTCCATGTACCCAGTGTTTGCTCGGGTTGTCAGAAGGGAGGCATTAGCCTTGTGTCTTCTGAAGAAACTGGACATTCATCATGAAACGTCATAACTCTTTTAAATGAATTATTTTTTATGGTTAGCGTTTTTGAGTGAGTTGGTATTCTACGGGTTGCAGTCACTAACCCATCGCGCAACCCTCCTCCTTTCCAGACCTAGGACCATCAGTGACCCGAGAAGGGCTGGAGGTGGAGTTTTCGCAAGAATTATACCATACCATACCATTGTAGGGAAGAAGAACACAGGTGGGGCAACCAGATTGTATTTACAAAAATTACAGAGTTACTCAGTAAAATCGGAAAACCATATCGTAAATCCGTTAATTTGCAAAATATCAGTCCATCATATCGAACTGGACTGTTCCTGTTGCAAAACATCAATCCATTTTCACTACTATTCATGCGTTTCATACAAATTCCATTGTGTTCCGAACTCTTCCTTTCTTGATGTTCCCCCATCTTCTGTTGCCAGACATTACGTTGACACTCACGTCATATACTACTTATAAGTAGCTCGCACCACACCATAATAATAATAATAATGACTATAATTCTAATTAGTTCCTTTCTTTCCAATCTAGACACAGATAACCGCATCCAGGTCACTGTGATTGGTTTAAATGATGACGGGAATTTGATTGGTGCATCTGGTGAAGAAAAAACACTTGATTGTAATGCTGAAGGTAAAGAATTTTATTTCAATTTTCAATATTTACATGAATTTTTACAAACAACATGGTTACATGGTGTAAAAGTTATTATTCTTCATTATCTAATTTCATTCATCCAAGTTGAAATCACCAACTGATCTATGCTACCTCATCATTTGAAACTTGGAAGCATTTGGGAAAAAAACTATACAGTCTCCACAAATCTTCATAATTAACAATCATGTACTCAACAGTGATTAACTTCACGATATATTGCTGAAGTTCTACTTAAAAGTTGTGATGAATGGAGTTCAACTGTTGTCAGATAGGAGACAGTTAAGCGCCACATCTGGTGGGTGAAGGTTACGCAACATCAAGGATTGATCGAAGTTAGATTTTACCAAAACTGTATGCCGAATCACTAGTTTAGAGGTTGAGATTTTGTGCTCCAGACCGTAGCTTCCGGGTTGGACTTCTACGTGCGGCGGCAGTGAATGTACACTGCTGAGGTGTCCCGTACTAGGATGAAACGGTCGTTTGGTGCTTTCAAGTATTTACAAACTACAATTTTTACACATTTGAAATCATCAATCAGTCATCGTTGGACCACCATTAGAAACCTGGAAGCACTGAACGGCCGTTTCGTCCTGGTATGGGACTCATCAGTGCCAGTGCGCATCCATGACTGCTGCACCTCGCAGGATTCGAACCCGTGACCTTCGGTATTGTGCGAGAACACCTAACCTTCAGATCACTGGACCGGCACCCAACGGCGTTAATGTCTAACTCTGATTGATCTACGGATTTTGCGCTACCTCACCCATTTTATCTTTGGTAGTTACTGCCTACACCCGACAGAGATGAACTCCATTTAGCACGTCTTCTCAACTAGAAATCCGAAAATTTCCTCACGAAGCTAGTGACTAGTGAGCACTGTTACGATATTTTGGGGCAGAGTTTTTTGGAGTTTTGTGTTTTTTTACACATTTGAAATCATCAATCAAAAAAACCCTTCATTAGTTGGAAAATTAATGAACATTTCATGCGTTGTGTTTTATTTCTATCTCAAACTTTCTGTTTAGTTGATTCAGCTTTCTTTTGGTTGCAGAGAGCACATTACATTTCTCATATTGTCGTTTTCTTTAAGGATAAAAAAGGAAGTTTCGATGAAGTAACTCGAAGCTTTCCCATGTTTAAGGACTTTTGGTCAATGGTTTGATATCGCTTGGTCTTTAGTTGAAGCAGGTTCTATAAGTTGACCAAAAGTAGTTTCTTCACAACATTGATATGATCTTGGTTTACGTTTAGTGGTGAAACTCAAGACACAATTGTTTCGTCCGTATGATTTTGAAATGAAGAGAATTTTTCTGTCGGGTGGATGATTGTGTTGGAGTTTCATTCTCTGAACTGGATGCTTTGGTTGTGGAGCTTTCATTGTTCTTCTTCTGAACAACATCATCTTTAGCACAAACTTCAGATAGAAGAAGTGAAGTATTCGATTTTCTCCACGTAGGACATGTAGCTCGTCAAGTTGACTTCGATCTTGATTGTTTGTTATTGACCTAGGACCTATCGTTGTCCACATCTTTATAATCATAGGCGAACATAGGATCAAGAAACAGATGAAAGGAGGGTACAATCAAAACAAAGGTGCAAGCAACGACAGGTTTGATGTTAATAACCAACCAATCAAGATCGTGGTTAACAGAACAAGCTACAGGTCATTCGTACAGTTTGTGCTGATGATGTTGTTCAGTAGAAGAACAATGAAAGCTCCACAATCGAAACATTCATTTCAGAGAATGAAACTCCATTACACTTCTATTTGTGATTTACAGGAAGGACACGGGTTCTAGTGATACTTTATATTAGGATATGCTAATCGAAAATATTTTGTTACACCTTATCGCTCCAACAAATAGGGATTCTAAACCTCCCTAATCCTAATATGGATATTTATTTTTATCTTAGGTTTTTCTGTACTGCATGATGCTGAAATCTTACATTGTAAGTTTTAAATGATAATAACATTTTCCTAGATATTGTTATTTGGTAAATGCATAAATCAGTATCCTAGACAGTCGGTCATAAATTACATTTAATTAGCCTCTACGATTGTGAATAGTTATTGAGTTGAAACTTACTTACGCCTATTATTACCCCTCTTGGAGGATAGGCCGCCGATCAACAAGTTGTTTTTTCTAAGCCAGTTGGATTTCTACGGGATGGGGTTGTTAACCCCATACGCTCAACTCTCCCCTCCTTTATCCAAGCTTGGGATTGGCAGTAACCCTAGAAAAGCTTCAAGGCGGAGTTTATGGTGTCGAAAACCAAATTTTTAAGTCTACCACTTTGGATACGACTAAAACACATTACAACCTTTAACGCAGTAGGAGAATTAAAAGCCGGAAGAAAACAGAAGCAATCCTTACTTGTCGAAATGTAATTCCATCTGACTGGTCTCAGTCGCTAATTATTCCAATTTACAAGAAAGGACAAAAGTCTTCTTGAGACAATTACAGGGGAATCAATTTAACTAATATAGTTTCTAAATTGTTAGCCTCGATTATACTTGGACGCATAGCTAGAGCTCGTGAAGAGCGGACTCGAGAAAACCAGGCTGGTTTTCGATCTGGACGTGGCTTTATAGATGACCACATTTTCACACTACGACAGGTCCTTTAACATAGACACACATTTAGGCGTCCTACAATAGTTATGTCCCTGGACATTAAGGCAGCATTTGACTCTGTAGATCGTGAGGTTCTGTGGCAGTGTCTGTCTTTGAAAGGTGTATCAAAGAAGTACATTCTTTACTTCAAGTGGTGTCCGTCAGTGACGTCCACTCTCTCCATTCTTGTTTAATTTTGTCATAGACATGCTCCTAGACATAAAGTTATCTTCGTCAGATTTTTCGGGGGTGGACCTTCTGCCAGGAGGATCCCTCACTGACCTAGAATATACCGGCGACAGTCCTATTCGGTGAAGACGCTGACAAAATGCAGAGTCTTCCCACTACCCTGAGCAACAATGCAAGTATATTCGGAATGCGGTTCTCACCCTCGAAATGCAAAATGTTGCTTCAAGACTGGGTTTCGTAGGCACCTGAACTAGTGATAGGGAGTGAAGGAGTTGAGCGTGTTGACCGCTTCACTTATCTCGGGAATCTCATCAGTGCTGACGTCTTGGTGACTGACAAAATCTCAGCACGGATACAGAAGGCTCGATTGGCTTTTGCCAATTTATGTTATTTGTGATGTAGGCGAGATATCCGTTTACTGACTAAAAGACGAGTGTACTGCACAGCCGTTCGCTCCGTTCTCCTATATGGATGCGAAACATGGTCGGTAACAGAAGAAGATATTCGTAGTTCACTGGTTTTCGATCACAGATGTCTTAGAAGCATTGCTCGTGTATCGTGGGACAACCGAGTAAGCGATGCTGCCATTAGGAAACGAGTTTTAGGTAAGGATGGCAGGTCAATAGATGAAGTATTGAAACATCATCAGTTGAGGTGGTTGGGATATGTGTTGGGATATGGCAACCTGGACTGATGTAAGTACGTACGTTGCATCTGACTAACTGACTGTAACGTATAAACAAGCCATATGTCTTCATAGTTTTCCGTTTAGAGTGAAAATATCAACAGCCATGTTAAACCATCATCCAATCACTTTAATCTCCATTGTCATTCTAGATATTCTATCGAGTTACAATCGGATGAATAGTCTTCGTCTTTTTTCTGGTAGCCTCTGGAGGCTTGTAAAAGCCATCCTTACACATTTTGTGAACCCATTAAAGATGGGCAATATGTCATTATAGGCTATATCGATCTTTTCTTCATACAAATCGACTTAGAATGAGTTTTATTATAATATTCACATATTTTCCAAATCCTTCTATCATACGCTTTATTAAAATATACGCAACATATAAGCTAAGATCGACAATTCCGACTTTTGTTTGAATGAGCTTATTCATATATTCACAGCTGTCTTAAGAATACATGTATATATGTTGTCCATCAGTGTTAATTCGAAAGAAGCTAAGTGTTGGCGATGTTAGATCCCCAGAACTCCCTTGATAAATGCCCTAATTTTGGATTTCATGTTTGCGAGGAGCATGGGCTGATCAGTTGACCTTGAGATCACATAATTCCCACCAGGGAAATCCATGGCTGTGATTGACTGCTGTGTATTTCAGTGTGCTATTTTCGTAAATGTCCCAACGACGTTTCTATGATGTATAAATAAATGAGAGTTGTGTGCTTGATTGTAGTGTGTGATTGCTGGGTATTTGTAGAATATACTTTCTACGCTTATCCAGACTTCTATTTTGCAGTTTTGGGATTCAAGGTAGCCTATCTGGACGCCTAGTTCATTGTCTCGTTCGCGTTTTGTCGACTAAGGTGAACTCGTAATAGCTTCAAGCGTACCTAGTGACGAATGTAACACTAAGTTATCCTTTTTATAATTTCTGTGTGTTGATTGCTCTTCAACGAATTGAACATTTATTCTGATCAGAATTTCCTATCTGTTATTTGTTACGCCTGCACGTAAACATGTCAACTTGATATACTTGAACTATTACGAGTTTACCTAGTCAGAAAACGAGAGCGAGGATCGAGGATGCGGTGACACAACATGCTACTCTAATCCGATTATCCCAACCCCCATATTTAGTAAAAGAAGACTTGATATGAAGTAGAACCTGTACTCTACAAGCATTCATAAAGTACGAGGACCGAATCCAGAAGAGAATCATGATCCCGGACCAGGGATCCGGGACCGGGTCCTGGTCCCGGTCATGATCGTGGTCATAAAACGTTACAGATATTTCGTATTTATACATTTTGGTCGAATGAGAAACAACATCAAAGTCTTTGACATTGACAGTTAAGACAACCAATAAGAAACAACAACATTGGAGCACGTGACATTGATATCTAGTACGACCATAAAATTGACCAGTAGTAATTAATCAATAGGAATTGACCAATAATTCTTTTACGATATTGGATGAATATCCTAACACTATCAATTTTTCTTTTAGCTCAAGAGACAATCAATTCAGAAATACTTTCATACAATTGGCAATTGATGGATTCAAATGGCAATGCCTTGTCATTAAATTATTTAGCTGATAATATAAGTTTATCTAGCTCGGATGGTGTCATCCAATTGAATGGTTTACGTGTTAGCAAATTATCAGAACAAGGTCATTTGAAAGGACGTTGTTTGGTTCATGCGAAATTCATACGAACTACGGTACTGGCTGATGGATCAGAGAAACAGAAAATTGACCAATTAATATTTCATTCAAAAATGTTCGGTATAGCAATAACGGATGATGGTACTTATAGTGGAGAGATTGGTGGCTTAGATTGTAAGTTTAATTTAATTTAGTTAACTTTGAATTATGTTTTCTGGTTGGTGTTATTGTTAGCGAGTTAGTTTTCTACATGATGGAGTTGTCAACAACACCAAGCCTAACCTTCCTCCTACTACTTTATCCAGGCTTGAGAAAGGCAGTAGCTCCAGATGGGCTTCAGCTGGAGTTAATTAGTAAACCGCTTTGATTGATGGCTCAGTGGTCTTGAGATGAAACGTTTGCGCGCAAGACTAAAGGTCCTAGGTGCGATTCTTGCAATTAGCCAGGGTCGTGGATGCGCACTGCTGATGAGTCTGATTCTAGGACGAAACGGCCATCCAGTGCTTCCAGGTTTCGAATTGTTGTCTAAAACTGATCGATTCACATCAGTTTACTGATAGTGAAAAATTGTTAAACACTGCTTGTTTTACGTATCAAAATATTCCATGGATATCATATGACATAATCAGAATATATTGATCGCAGTGTTCGATAGTTAAGCAGTCAGAGTATATGTTTATGAATGGGCCAATTATATTTTACATAGTAGTAAGTCATGGATTTCGATACGTAGTTCATTCATCCATCATTGGCTGAATAACATTGTAGTATTACAGCTGATTATGACGGTGTTTTGTTCTCTGAGCAGCTGGATGTTTTGGTTGTGGAGCTTTCATTGTTCTTCTTCTGAACAACAGCATCATCAGCACAAACTTCAGATAGAAGAAGTGAAGTATTCGAATTTCTCCACGTTTGATCTGTAGCTTATTCTGTTAACCTCGATCTTGATTGGTTGTTGTTTCCTTGCGACTATCTTCCAAAAGAACGGTTATCGATGCAACTTCATCAAAAAACATCAACCAAAATCATCAACAGACGCGAAGTCAAGTACAGGAACCAATAAACGGATCATCCTACCATACATAAAAGACAAATCGGAACATACAGCACGACTACTGAAACCATTTGGAATAGGTGTGGCACACAAATTAACAGAATCACTTCAATCAATCCTATGTTGTAGACCAAAGGAAAAAAATGACAAAGGAAGAATAACTAAATATCATCTACAAAATAAACAACTGCTCAGACTTTGAAAAACACTACATAGGACAAAGTGGACGGCCTCTTTAGCTTCGTCTAGGTGAACACCAATTAGTAGTCAAACGCCACGACAACGATTCGCTTATATCAATACACACCGACAATTATGGACACACATTCGATTGGAACAATGTGGAAATACTGGGTAGGGGGAGGACAAAGAACACTAGAGAATATTTGGAAGCTTGGCACTCAGGTCAATCGGCAATTGACAAAACACATCGACATTGAGCCAATTTATCAACCAATCAAAAAAATCATAGGCGACATAGGATCAAGAAACAGATCAAAAGGGAGATGCAATCAAAATAAAGGAGCGAATAAGGATAGATTTAAAAGACAACAGCAACCAATGAAGATCGAGGTTAGCAGAACAAGCTGCAGGTCATTTGTAGAGAAATTCGAATGCTTCACCTCTGTCTGAAGTTTGTGCTGATGATGTTGTTCAGAAGAACGATGAAAGCTCCACAACCAAAGCATCGAGTTCGTAGAATGAAACCCCACCACAGTCATCCACCTGAGCTACAAATTTTCTCCATCATCTCATTATAGCTGAAATCAGTTCTTGATGCAAACGCTACCCTCCAACTTCAAATCCTATTCTTAATTCGCCACATTAATTTTTGCAACTGTCTTTTAATCCTAGAAATTAGGGCTACATTCTCAAGGTTACTTTATCATCGCTCAAAGGTTGGTCTCAGATTAAATTTTTACCAGATTTTCTCTATGAGTTGAGGGATTCATACTTCTTAATAAAGCAGTGACTGTCCAGTAATATCAGTTAGATATTGAAATCATGAACGAATCTTCTTTAGACCACAATTAGAAACTTGGAGTGGGTTCTGGTATGGGACTCATCAGCAGTGCGCACCCACAACCCCTTCTACTCACAGGACCCGAACCTGGAACCTTCTGTCTTTCGCGCGAACGCTTAACCTATAGACTACTGAGCAGGGATAAAACGGTGTTAATGTCTAATAATGATCAATCTAAGGATGAAAACTGCTGATAAGTCCCGCTCCAGGAAGAAACGGCCGCCGCAGCCAGTTATACACTTGTCACTTACCTCCATTGTTTTTACGCATGACGATAGGTGTACAGATGTGTTCTTCACTGAGTTGACGTGTTAATATCTAACTTCACGCAATCCGCAACTTTACGCTGCCGTTTCCTAATGTCTCCCGTGAGTAACACGCTCTAGCAATACTGGTTACAACTTCTTACTTAGCGATCCGGGAATTTCCTCTCAAAGCTAGTCACTATAAAAAACGCACAATAATTGTCAGTATTGAACCTGTATACGAGGTTAAGTCGTATATTGTTACGACAGGCTAATCTAATCCCAGTGTCCCAACTCCCATTGAGTGAAAGAAGAAGACTTGACATGAAGTAGAACCTGTATTCTACAAGCATCCAGAAAGTACGAAGTCCGAATCTAGAAGAGAATCAGGATCCCGAACTATGGATCCAGGTCCGGTCCTTAAAACGTTACAGATAATGCGTATTTATACAGTTAGGTCGAGAAGGAAACAGCATCGAAGTCTATGACATTGACAGTTAAGACCACCAATAGGAAACAACATTTGAAGTGACATTGATAGTCAGGATAACCAATAAGAAACAACATTGGAGCACGTGACATTCATATCTAGTACGATCATAAAAGTGACCATTGAGAATTAACCAATGGTAATTGATCAATAATTCCCTTAGGATATTGGATGAATATCCTAATATATATATATATATATATATATATATATATATATATATATATATATACTTATGGGGTCAGATAGCTCAGTCCAAATGTTCTGACAGTTCTTTTGTCAATCTTAAAAGAACTTCTTTTCATTAACTCATCTAGCCAGTAAACCAATATATCCTCCTATCATATCATATACTAATGTAATGTATCAAATCTAACATTATAAATGTCATTACCAGAAAAAAATTTTTCCATGTGTAAATCCTCTTTTCATCGGGAAAATTTTACCTTTTTATTTTGGTAGTACATAGTAATAAAGTACGCGTTGGTGTGATTGGTTTAACTTCATCAGGAAAATTGAACGCTGAATCCGGTGATAAAATCAATCTTGAATGTTATGCAATAGGTGAGTTTGTTTTTTTCCTCTTTGAATGAAAAAAAGTATGACTGATTGCAGATCGACAAATTCAATTGTTTTCAAGCAGTCGTCAGACTTGTGAATAACTGTTTTTACCCCCGAATGATTTGATCGGCTTATCAGGTACTTCATCATGGTAGATTCATGTTAAAGAGGATGCTACTTACAAAGTGGTTTGTAAGTAGTATAGCGCGGAGTGTTGCCTAAAACTTGCTGCCAAAAGAGAACAGTGTCCAGTAATCGAAATGCATGGTAATGATCAGGGTATTTTTTTTAAAGACTAGAAGAGTAGTGAGAGAAGACAATCAATCAGTTGATTAGATTGTAAATGGTTGATTGAAGACTACGTGCATATATTTCGTAAACAGTCTTTTTCTAACCAGTTTTGTGCTCTTTATAGATTACATTGTGATCAGGGGTATTGGGTTCGAGTCTTGGAATGTACAGGTACATTCAACTAAAGACCAGTCCTGAATAGGACGGAATCTGTGTCGTGGATTCTTTACGTGGCTTGTGATCTGGACGAATACATGAAATAAATCTTTGATCTAATTTCCGTATATCATTCTTAAGCGAACACCGTTCGTGAGACCGTGGTAATAATAATCCAACTACGGGTTCAGTTGGATGAATTTATTTCATGTAATCGTTCACTCAGACATACATGGGAATACACAACGGAAAAACGAAGAGGAGAAGGTGAGTGAGAAAACTCAATACGATGAGGCATGACATGTAATAACAACAAATGCAAGAGAAGACGACCAGTGTAGCAGCAGCCTCTGCAGCAGCAGTAGGTCTCAACATACACAAAGGAAAAAACGAAATTCTCCGATGCAACACAACATGCACCAACCAAATCACTCTTGTTGGACACGCCTTGGAGGACGTTAACACCTTTATATATCTGGGCAGCATCATCGACGAGAAAGGTTGATCCGATGCAGATGTGAGGGCGCGGATTGGCGAAGCAAAGGCTGAAAAATATCTGGAACTCCTAACAACATTCAACCAAAAACAAAATCACGATTTTCAATTCAAATGTCAAGACAGTTCTACTGTATGGAACGGAAACTTGGAGAACTACGAAAGCCATCATCCAGAAGATACAAGTGTTTATGAACAGTTGTCTACGCAAAATACTTCGGATTTGTTGGCCAGACACCATCAGTAACAACGAACTGTGGGAGAAAACAAACCAGATTCGAGTGGAGGAGGAAATCAGGAAGAGGCGCCGGAAGTGGATAGGACACACATTGCGGAAAGCGCCTAACTGCGTCACAAGACAAGCCTTCACATGGAAACCTCAAGGTCAAAGGAAAAGAGGAAGGCCAAGGAACACACTACGCCGAGAAGTAGAGAAAGATATGAGAGGAATGAACAAACATTGGACAGAATTGGAGAGCGAAGCCCAGGACAGAGTTGGCTGGAGAAAACTGGTGGTCGGCCTATGCTCTATTGGGTGTAACAGACGTAAGTAAGTAAGTATGACATGTAGTGCGCGAAGTAAGCATGCACACATAAACACGTATTCAAATGAAAACAACCAAGTTTCTAAGCGAACAAAATTGACCAAAAGACGTGTGAACAATTGGATAAGATTGGATAAACTAATTTGTCCAAATCCCTGGGACGCGAGCCCCAGTGGGCTCGACATATTAGCACTCACTGGCAGTCCATTTGAACGGACTGTTGTGTAACCAAAGTATTCTTTCACAAAAATATATTTTTGTTTTTCAGATACACAAACTAATACACCAGTATCAGATGCAATCTATGCATGGGAAGTACGTGATCGTCATGACCAGTCAGTAATCACAGAGACAATAGCTAAAAATGTTTTGCGTTCCGCAAATGTAATCAGTTTTATACATCTTCGTCCAACGGATAATTTATCATGGGATAAACATATATTTGGTCGTTGTTCAGCTTACAGTCCACAAACTAAACATTTATATTATTCCGATTATTTCCACATCAATGTTCGTCAACCGATGAATGATGGAAAAACTGGACGTATGTGGTTGTTATTTGATTTTATTACTTATTAAATTTAAGTAGTGTTTGTGAAATGACTTGAAATTTTGTACTGATGATATTGTTCAGAAGAACAGCGAAAGCTCCACAACAGAAGCATACAACTCAGAGAACGAAACACCATCACAATCATCCGACTCGATGTTTATCTACTTCCTTATCTCTATTGGTTGGAGAAAAAAAAGTAGTGTAGTTACATTTAATACAGAGAGCCAATCGGGGGTGGATGAACGGGGAAGGTCAGAACGGATGCATATCATTGGTCGAGAAGTGAATTCATTTTCTGTGGATGGATGCATATATATCAATACGTATTTATGTTCATAATTCAAGAACCGAATAGACCTCCTTTGCTGCTTTTGCTTTCTTGTTCAAGTAGTCAGTTTGGAGGGTTCACGTGTATCACGTTCAGAGTTTGAACCCCGTAAATCATTGCAGTAACTCATTAATAATATTTTATAGCGTATAATTTACTGAAAATGATACTTAGTTAAGAATTAGAGAAAATGTTCACCAATCAGGTCAAATCAGACCACGAATCCATGAAATTACGGACAAAAGGGTTGAGCCATGTTGATAGGTGTAGACTACCTAGTTGGGATCTGTCAAACAATCCTAATTGATGGTTAGAGACTTTGAATGACATAGCTCTAAATCGTTTTACAATGGAGCAGGTGTATCCATTTTTTTGTGCTCTCTCAAATTCTAATCTTCTGGATTCCTAATGACCATTTTTTAACTCTTAAATTGATTCCTCTGGGATATACGTCTCGAATAAAATTTTTGATCACACCGGTCTTTTTGATTACCGTCAACACTTCTCCTACCTGTACTACTGAGAAGACTGAGGCAAGCGAGGAAGATTGTATTAAGCAAATTTACACTCTGAGTCAATTAAAAACGAAAACATTACGTTCAATACTCTATTTGCACACCATCTTTGAGTCGTGACTACCAACACTCCATCCTTCTTCTTCCATTTCTGTTGTTGCTTCCTTTCCTTCCTGTTGGTGTATTCCATTTACTTCTTGCTTTTGCTCCATTTGCTTTCCGTTTTCCTCTTGTGACCGTGAGACTTCTTCTTTCACGTCCCTTCTTATACTACTTATATCGTTCGTATAAGTAGCACACACCACAGTACTATAAGATTTGAATTAACATTTCGATCTCTGTGTGCTAATGTGTTATGGCAACTTGAACTGATGTACGCGCGTACGTACAATATTCTACGCTGTAACTGACTGACTGGATTAAGTCAGATAGTGAACAATTATTATTTTCCAGACAGAATATTTAAAAAATCAATTTATTAAAGTTGCGAATAGTTTTTCGTGGGTACGTTGAACTCAAAGTAGGGCTCGCCACCACGTTAGTGGCCGGCGATCTGACTCGTTTTCATACGGACGCTTGAATATGCAATGAAATATATCTTCTCTCGTATTTCTGTACAACATACTTAGGCGAATCCCGTTTCCATGATGGCAGTAGGTGGAAGCCAAATGCGGATTAAGTTGGATGAGTTTATTTCAAGCAGTTTATTTCATGCAGACAGACATCAGAAAAAATAGGGTATAAGCGAAGTGAAGCGGAGTAGGCGAGCGAGCCAACTTAATGTAATAAGGCATGACTAAGCATTTATAATAGTTAGACGAAATAAGCCAGACATGCGATAAGCCAATTATGCAACGCACTCACATACTCGAATAGAAACAACCACGAGAAGAAACTCAGCAACATGCTGATTTCCACTCCAGAAGGTATCCTCTCTGATAGCGGTGAACAACAGTCAAGATGCAAGTCAACCACAAGAGATCACACTATTAAACAGGGGAGGAGTGTTGGGGACGTTAGATCCCTAGAGCTTGCTTGATAAATGTCTTTATTTTGGATCTTATTCATTGGTTTATCAGTTGACCTTGAGATCACGTTTCCCACTAGGAAGATCCTTGACCGTGATTGGTTACTGTGTTATTTTAGTGTGCTATTTTGTGACTCTCCCAAGGACGTCTCTTTGATGAGTGTTTGTAGAATACGCTTTCTAAGCTTTATCAAAACTTCTCGTTAGTTCCTTTGGGTCAAGGGATCAGAGTAGCCTACCTGGACACTGGTTCATTGTCTCGTTCTCGGTAATCGACTAAGGTGAACCCGTTTCAAGCATATCAGGTGACGAGCATAACAGTTGATAAGGTCAAAAGACGACGAGTGAACAGTAACTTGGGTTAGAATGGATTAGTTAGTTAATTTTCCTAAGGTTTGGGAAAATTCCTGTAGGCTCAACATAAAAGTACATGTACTTACTTACTTACTTACGCCTGTTACTCCCAATGGAGCATAGGCCGTCCACCAGTTTTCTCCAACCAACTCTATCCTAGGCTCCCCTTTCCACTTCTGTCCAATGTTTGTTCATTCCTCTCATATCCTTCTCTATTTCTCGGCGTAATGTATTCTTTGGCCTTCCTCTCTTCCTTTTGCCTTGAGGGTTCCATGTGAGGGCTTGTCTAGTGACGCAGTTCGGTGCTTTTCGTAGCGTGTGTCCTATCCACTTCCACCACTTCTTCCTCATTTCCTCCTCCACTGGAATCTGGTTTGTTTTCTCCCACAGTTCGTTGTTGTTGATGGTGTCTGGCCAACGAATACGAAGTATTTTGCGAAGACAACTGTTCATAAACACTTGTATCTTCTGGATGATGGCTTTCGTAGTTCTCCAAGTTTCCGCTCCATACAGTAGAACTGTCTTCACATTTGTATTGAAAATCGTGATTTTGTTTTTGGTTGAATGTTGTTTGGAGTGTAGTGCCTCCACATATATTTCACTTCTCTCACATCTAACTTGGTTAAGCCTTTCGATTAATTTACTTAACCAAGCCATTCGCTTAGCAACAACTTGTATGTACAATTGGTATTTTTTATTATCTGGTTTGTATGAGCTAGTATGACTGAGCATTGCTTAACGCCTACGCATATATGCATCCTATTCGCTTTAATATTAATCTCTTAAATAACACGATGACTCAGACATTTTCCTTTGTATATATACGAACATTTTTATCTCATTAATTCATTCGCACATTCGCTCACTAGTCTGTCTGCCCGGTCTGTCTGTGGTCTGCTGTTATTAATTGTGGTGTGCTTCAATAAACGTATACGCTACTTGGAATTCATCTTCTGATTTATTAACCGTCAGACGTCAATTGGGATAAGGTAGTCTGAACGAGCTTATTACGAAACGTAAGAACACGCATTAAGCCGGCACACCTCAACTGGTAATCCCGACGTTCTCAGGATATTTACGGATACTGACAGAAAATCGACGCTTCCAACAAAATTGCTAACCTCGACGCTCCCAGGAATAATTTGCTGATATCGACGACAGACCAAAAACTACGACCACAAATCGAACGCGTCCGCAATATCACTGACAATAACTATTTCGATACGAATTACTAGTGTGGATTAAATTAACATTTGGGATTATTATCATTATCATATCGTTATTGCATGACAATTATTTCATAAACATTATTTGACATATTTTGAAAATATTAACAATTACGAATTACGTCATTATACATAAAACTGTTTTACTGCTGCATTTTAGTAAGTCTGTTCCGTGTTATAACCTTTTATTAATTGTTGTTAACATTATTATCGTCCACTTAATTTCATCCCCTTATTTTTTTAATTTATTCGCGTACTATAAATTGTACATTAACATGTCTTCAGTTAACGGAACAAGTCTGCCACAAGTGGCGTCCGTGAAGTCCCTTAATATTGCTATTCCTCCATTTAGTGTTGCCGACAGAATTTACGAAAGAACGGAAACACCGAATCCAAGGGTACACCACACACCAATAAATGGTGAAATCGAAGAGTTAAAAAAAATGATTCGTATTTTACGCCAAAAGCTGACGAACCTGACGCGAAACGACAGACCACAAAGATGGTCACGAATTATTTCGAGTGACAAAAACCGATCACGCTCTAGGGAACGATCTGCTCCCACGATATGTTGGTATCACCAAACGTACGGCAGAAGAGCTCGGAAATGTAGACTGCCATGCACATTTAAAGCTAATACAATAGGGAAACGATCCCGTCGACCGTCGGTAACTGCTGCGACAACTGGCGTAGCTCCCAAAAACAGTCGTCTATTTTACGTCCAGGACAAGACAACTGGTGCTCAATTCTTAGTCGACACAGGAGCAGAAATAAGTGTTGTGCCGCCCGTTAGTAATGAACGACGAAATGTTAATACGGCGCTTACGTTGAAAGCAGCAAACAAATCCGACATAAAAACATACGGAAAGCGAAAAATAACTTTAGATTTCGGTCGAAACATTTCACTTCGATGGGAATGTGTGATAGCAGACGTATCCGTACCTATAATCGGCATTGATTTCCTGAAGAATTTCGACCTAATAGTAGATTCGCGACGAAACCAGATTTTGAGCAGAGACCGTTCATTGGTGATAAGAGGAATAATCACCGAACACGTTTCGATGAATTTAGTGGTCTCAAAAGTCCAAAGTAACGAAGAAACAGATGGATTATCAAGAGCAATGATTAACACTCTCATTCACTCTGGAATCGATTATCACAAACTAGCAGCGTTGCAAAATATGGACGCTGAGCTAAGCAGACTAAGATCATCCAATACAACTTCTTTAGTATTCCGAGAAACTCCGTTCGGCAAAGTGAACATAATCTGTGATATTTCTACAGGCAGACCACGACCGTTTATTCCGAAGCCGTTTAGACGAAAAGTTTTCGAAACTATGCATAATATATCACATCCTGGAATTAAGGCAACGATCAGTCTGATCAGCGACCGTTTCGTATGGCCAAATATGAACCGAGATGTTCGCAACTGGACACAGGCATGTATTAAATGCCAGAAAGTTAAAGTTCATCGTCACACAAGTTCCGCAGTAGGTCCATTCCGTCACCCAGACAGCCGATTCGAGCACATACATATCGATATAGTGGGACCACTGCCAATTTCGAATGGTTTCAGTTATATTTTTACCTGCATAGACAGATTCACGCGATGGCCTGTAGCGGTGCCCATAAAAGATATTTCAGCAGAGACCATAGCTAAAACCTTAGTGGAACATTGGATCTCATATTATGGAGTCCCTGCTCATATCACAACCGATAGAGGAGCCCAATTTGAAAGTCGCCTCTTTCAACAACTCACAGAGCTCCTTGGGATTAAACGTATACGCACAACCTCCTACCACCCGATGGCAAATGGTATGGTAGAGAGATTACATCGACAACTGGAAGCATCTCTTACAGCTGTTATTAACAACAATGACTGGGCCAACAAGCTTCCATTAGTCATGTTGAGTTTAAGATCGACGGTTAAAAGAGACATAGGATGTTGCCCTGCAGAGTTAGTTTACGGAACTACCCTACGTCTACCAGGAGAGTTGTTCATCTCAGGTAAGATTGTTCCAACTGATATAACTAACTACGTACGTCGTCTAAAAGACCACATGAGCGATCTAAGAATAACGCTTCCGCAGGAGAATCAACATCGAGTATATATTCCGAAGCAACTAAGCGATACCTCCTATGTATTTATCAGGAGAGATTTTGTGCGACGTCCCTTACAACCAACCTACGATGGTCCTTTTAAAGTTATCGACAGAAACGATAAAACTATCACCGTAGATAAAGCTGGAAAAACGGATGTAGTTAGCATCGACAGAGTCAAACCAGCTTTCTTTGAAGGCGAAGAACAGCCAATAAACGCAAACCCATCGAAAGCCATTGAATCACCGAAATGCGAGCTTAAACCCTCTGAAGCAGCAACACAGAAAACAGAAGGAATCCCACCAACGACCAGATATGGACGAAGAGTCAGGTGGCCGCAAAGATATATAGCTACGTTTTTGAACTGATAATTCTTCTCACCATTTCGAACACATTTTTTTTTGCTTCGCATCTGTACGTCGGAAATTCTAATTTATCTATTATTGCCTTCGATACATTTAGTGTATTTCGAAATTGAGATGTAACCTAAAAACATTGCTATACTTTTGTTTGATCTTCTATTCCTTTGCGACCTCACGAACGTATGCGAATAGAGTAACTTTAACTTCCGAAACTTTTGATGTTTTCCGACAATTTTGATTTTTTTTTTCTCGCAAACAAAGACATTTTCGTAACCTTGTTTGCTGGAAGGGGGCTATTGTAGTGCCTCCACATATATTTCACTTCTCTCACATCTAACTTGGTTAAGCCTTTCGATTAATTTATTTAACCAAGCCATTCGCTTAGCAACAACTTGTATGTACAATTGGTATTTTTTATTATCTGGTTTGTATGAGCTAGTATGACTGAGCATTGCTTAACGCCTACGCATATATGCATCCTATTCGCTTTAATATTAATCTCTTAACTAACACGATGACTCAGACATTTTCCTTTGTATATATACGAACATTTTTATCTCATTAATTCATTCGCACATTCGCTCACTAGTCTGTCTGCCCGGTCTGTCTGTGGTCTGCTGTTATTAATTGTGGTGTGCTTCAATAAACGTATACGCTACTTGGAATTCATCTTCTGATTTATTAACCGTCAGACGTCAATTGGGATAAGGTAGTCTGAACGAGCTTATTACGAAACGTAAGAACACGCATTAAGCCGGCACACCTCAGGAGTTCCAGATATTTTTCAACTGTAGAAATGCAGTCCTTGCTTTGCCAATGCGCGCCCTCACATCTGCATCAAATCCGCCTTTCTCGTCGATGATGCTGCCCAGATATGTAAAGGTGTTTACATCCTCCAAGGCATCTCCATCAAGAATGATTTGGTTGATGCATGTTGTGTTGCATCGGAGAATTTCGCTTTTTCCTTTGTGTATGTTGAGACCTACTGCTGCTGCAGAGGCTGCTGCTACACTGGTCGTCTTCTCTTGCATTTGTTGTTGAGTGTGCGATAGAAGAGCCAGGTCATCTGCGAAGTCCAGATCGTCCAGCTGCGTCCTAAATGTCCATTTGATACCGTGCTTCCCTCCAGATGTTGACGTCTTCATAATCCAGTCGACTGACGACCAGGAGAAAGAGAAAGGGTGAGAGTAAGCAACCTTGCCTGACAACGGTCTTCACCTCGAAAGAGTCAGTCAGCTGACCTCCATGAACGATTTTGCAGTTGAATCCATCATAAGAATTCCGTATGATGTTAACTATTTTCTCAGGCACACCTTAGTGTCGAAGAAGAGTCCACAGTGTTTTCCTGTCCACGCTATCGAATGCTTTCTCGTAGTCGATGAAGTTGATGTAGAGTGGTGAGTTCCATCCAATTGATTGTTCCACAATGATCCGTAATGTAGCAATCTGTTCAGTACACGATCGATCCTTACGAAATCCGGCCTGTTGATCTCGAAGTTGGGCGTCTACGAAGTCCTTCATTCTGTTTAACAATACTCTGTTGAAGACTTTGCCTGGTATTGAAAGAAGAGTGATGCCTCTGTAGTTCTCACACTTGCTGAGATCGCCTTTCTTTGGTATTTTGATGAGGTATCCTTCTTTCCAATCTGATGGTACTTGTTCCTCATCCCAAATCTTCTTGAAGAGGATGTGAAATATTTTCGCAGTTGCTTCCACATCTGCTTTGATTGCCTCTGCTGGAATGTTGTCTGGTCCTGCTGCTTTGCCGCTCTTGATTTGTCTGATGGCTATACTGATCTCCTCAATCGTAGGTGCGCCAATATTAATTGGGAGGTCCGTGGATGCTGCTTCGATGTTGGGTGGGTTCAGTGGAGCTGGTCGATTCAATAGTTCCTTAAAGTGCTCCACCCACCTATTTCGCTGTTCGTCAGTGTTGCTGATTATTTTCCCTTCCTTGCTTTTCACTGGTCTTTCTGGTTTACGATAGTTTCCGGCGAGCTTCTTTGTTGTTTCGCACAATTGTCTCATGTTTCCTTCTCTTGCAACCTTTTCCGCCGTCGTTGCTAGATCTTCCACATATTTTTGTTTGTCATCTCTGATGCTCTTCTTCACTGCCCTGTTTGCTTCTGTATACTCGGCTTGCGCCTTAACTTTCTCTGCTCTTGTTCGGCTGACATTCACTGCTGCCTTCTTGTTCCTCCTTTCTTCAATTTTTGCGAGAGTATCAACAGAGATCCATTCTTTGTGATGCTGCTTCTTGCGACCAAGGACCTCCTGACATGTTAAAGTGATTGCCTCCTTAATCCCTTTCCAATTGTACTCCAATGTTGCTTCCTCTCCATTGAGTAGATCCTGAAAGGCCTGGAACCTATTGGTGAGGGCTATCTTGAATTCGCTGAGTTTTACGGTATCCCGAAGAAAGGCCGTATTAAACTTCTGTGATGTTGTCTGTCCCGTTGTCCAGTGCTTCTTTAGTTTCAATTTCATTTTGGCGATTAGCAAATGGTGATCTGAGGCTATATCAGCTCCTCTCTTGGTTCTCACATCCTCCATGGTCCTTCTGAACGTTTTGTTGATACAGATATGATCAATCTGGTTTTGAGTAGTTTGATCCGGTGAAATCCATGTGGCTTTGTGAATGCGTTTGTGCGGGAATATTGTGCCACCGATGACCAGTTTGTTGAAGGCACATAGGTTTGCAAATCTCTCACCGTTTTCGTTTCTTTCTCCCAGTCCATGTCGTCCCATGATGTCTTCATATCCAGTGTTGTCCATGCCAACCTTGGCATTCAGGTCTCCCATAAGAATCGTCAAATCCTTTGGTGAACATTTATCGACGATTGACTGCAGCCTTTCGTAGAATTGATCTTTAACGTGGTCACTGTAGTCATTGGTAGGTGCATAACATTGGATGACGTTCATTGTAATGTCCGCTTTCTTTGTTTTGAAGGATGCTTTAATGATCCTCGGTCCATGAGATTCCCATCCTATCAGTGCCTTTTGTGCATGTTTGGACAGCATCAGTGCAACTCCTTGTGTATGTGAAGCGTTTTCCTCTTCATGACAAGAGTATAACAGCAGTTCCCCTGAAGCAAGTCTCAGTTGTCCTACCTGTGTCCAATGCGTTTCACTGATTCCAAGCACCTCGAGGTTGTATCTTTTCATTTCTGCCGCAACTTGAAATAGTCTTCCAGTCTCCCACAATGTACGAACGTTCCATGTACCTAAAAGAATGGTTGCTCTGGTTGTCAGAAGAGGCATCGGCCCCGTGACTTCCGAGGGAACTCGGCTTTCATCACGCGACGTCATAATTCTTCTTCCAACTCCCAGGGCAGAGTTAAAATGGTTTGAATTATCTTTTCTGGTTAGCGTTTCTTTGGTAAGTTAGATTTCAACGGAATGGGGCCGCCAACCCCATGTCCAACCCTCCTCCTTTATCCGGGCTTGGGACCGGCAGTAGCCCCTACGGTTCTACTGGCGGAGTTAAAAGTACATGTACTACAATTGTATTGATGAAGCTCATCGATACCTTTAGGTTCAAATGAATCTCGTGTAACCCCTTATGACTACCTTAGCAAGCTATCAGTCTACAAGGTGTGAGTCTCAGTTGGATTACACTCATACTATTCAACAAATATTCTAACAATTTCCCAGTTTCTTCCACCTTTTTTTATCATCGTACAAATTCTCCGATTTCATTTTCTTTTGGCTGAACATGTTTTCTTTTACGCTTTGGATTTTTTCAGCCGATAATCAAGTACATGTTGAAGTCAGTGGAATTCCTTCGAATGGCGTTCTATCAGCTGAAGAAGGTGACAATGTTAACTTGGAATGTAAAGCTGTTAGTAAGTTAGCTTATACTACTATGTGGTTCTTTTAAATAAATAATTTTGACAACTGATTTATTAACAAGTAAATATTTATAAAACTAATTACACATTGGAATTTTATAATAAAAGTAATATACTACTTATTATAGACATTCTAAAAAATCTTTGTCATCAGTATAAGAGGGATTTGATTCTAACGAGTATAGTCTCGTGAGCTTCTACGAGTATGAGGGCGGACGTCACTTGCCAGCTGCCCACACTGTGGAAGAAAATTTCTTGTAGAACCTGAAAAACGGTTGGATTAGTGTTGGTCTTAGAGATGTGGGAGCATAACCACAGAACCTAAGGGACAACTGCTGGAGGTCGGTCACGCACTGCCTTTTTTGTGAGAAGTTTTTGAAGTGTTAGCTCCACTCTTGTTTAAAAGGCCTTACCACCAGAGATGGAAACCGTGAGATAAGGTGATGTGTGACATTTTTAGAGTCGACCTTTCCTAACCCCTTCCTTCCTTGTGAGAAGGCAGCGTTGCTGCAGATGATGGTTGTTCGAGGGAGACACTTACTGTAGTCACACCCTTCTACAGTCAGCAGTCCGACTACGCCCTCAGACGTTGAGCTGCCGGTTTTAGTCCTATCGTTCTCCTGTAAACCTGCTTGACATGGTAGAACCTGAAGGAACATATGTTCTAGCCAATATAGCTCGTGGTCGGGTGATCACGATAGACAAGCCCGTACAGCATGTCAGGGTAGCAGCTACGGTCGGGAATCTTTATAATGACGTGACATAAATAAAAGTACAAAGAGTCCCACTAATAAGAAAACAAAGTTTCAGAGTTACTCAGTAAAATTGGAAAAACCATATCGTAAATCGTTCATTTGCAAAATAACAGTTCATCATGTCGAACTGGACTGTTCCTGTTGCAAAACATCAATCCATTGTCATTCACTATTCATGCGTTTCATACAAATTCCATTGTTTTCTAACTCTTCCTTTCTTGATCTTACCCCATCTTCTGCTGCCAGACATTACGTTTACACTCACTTCATATACTACTTATAAGTAGCTCGCACCACAGCACCACACCACTACTATGTAAATTCACCCTAAATTAGCAAGCGTAATATTACACTGGCTTTCAAAAGAATCAGACACTGCTCACCTGTTAACACCACATTGTGAATAGTACGGCTGAATCCTGCAGCGCAACCGCGCAAGTACCTGACACCCTGATGGACCATTCACACCACATATATACACACTAGTGTATATATACAGTGATTATTTCCAATTCACAATCACTCCAGTCACTATGCACAGCATGAGAACAGGCCAATTCGACCCATCCCGCTTACATGACTATCAAACTGATGAGTATTAGCACCCATGGCCCTCGAGAATGTTGCAAGACAACCACCAGTATCATTGAAATCGCTTACTCGACAAAACTAATTTCTATATGATCAAACTTCTCATTATCTGTTAAACTACTTATAATTAATTGCTTTCACTGATTAAAATTTCTTTTTAGATACCACAGATAACACACCAATCACATCAGATCAAGCTTTATATCATTTCCAATTTGATGAAGCTGCACCAGACCGTGATGATACATACGGTGGTTATTTGGCAGATGAAATTATCCAAGAACAATTGACATCAGACAACACTGGTGGCATTCAATTAACACTGAATGGATTAAAATATGGTAAATGGCATAGAGGACGTTGTGTTGTCACTTTGATACAAAAAGATGATTATGACAAAGATGGCAAAGAACCAATTAAACGGTATACATCTAAATATTTTTGGTCCGATATACGACATAAAGGTGAAGCACAACTTGACGGATTTGATCCAAAGAAACAGATTACAACTATTCATGGTATAACTTATGGTAAGCATTGACAGTTATCTATCTATCTATCTATCTATCTATATTACACTAATGAAAACTGATTCATGTTAGTCTAAGAAATGAATGAACTCCAATAAAGGTTTGTTGAGGATGTTAGATCCCACAAACTCGCTTCATAAATGCATTAATTTTGGATTTCATGTCTGCGAGCATGGCTGTGATTGGCTACTGTGTATTTTAGTGTGCCATTTTTGTGACTGTTCCAAGGACGTTTCTACGATGTATAAATAAACGAGAGTTGTGTGCTAGATTGTAATTGTGATTGCTTGGTGTTTGTAGAATATACTTTCTACGCTTATCGAGACTTCTGTTCTATAGTTTGGGATTCAAGCTAGACTATCTGGACACTGGTTGATTGTCTCGTTCGCGTTTATCGACTAAGTTGAACTTGTAATAGCTTCAAGCTTACCTAGTTACGAACATAACAAGGTTAAGCGTTTGTACGCCAGACAGAAGATTCTAGATTCTATTGGCAGGAGTGGGATGTGCACTGTGCACGGATGAGTCCTGTAGACTAGGATGAAACAGATGCTTCCAGTGCTTCCAGGTTTTCAATAGATTGGTCTAACAATGATTGATTAATCATTGAAAGTGAAACTCAACAATCTCCATAACTCTACAAACATTTCGAATAATGACTGAAATGAGTTTTTGGTAAGATAGACAATGCGGTAAAGGTTATTGTTGATGCAACAAAATGTCTTCTTCATCAGAAGAAAAAAACCCAAATGGCATATAATGGTTGCGCCACAGCTCACAGTATTTATTAATTTAATGTGTTCACTGGTGACTAACTTCATGAGGGGATTCTCAGAGTTCTAGTCAGAAGCCATAACCAATCCAGTTGAATCCTGTCGGAAGTAGGCAGTTCCCTATCGAAGAAAATGGATGAGGTTGCGCAGTACCATGGATTGATTGACTGATTAAAGACATTAACACCATTGTCTACCAGTTCAATGATCTAGAGGTTGAGTTTCCGTGCGCGAGACCGAAATTCCTAGGTTTGTTTCCCATGATCGGGGGTCGTGGATGCGCATTGAGACGAAGCTGGCGTCCAGTGTTTGTAGGTTTCAAAACTCACTTGATAAAAGTCTTAATTTTGGATTTTATTCATGGGCTGATCAGTTGACCTTGAGATCACATTTCCCACCAGGAAAATCCTTGGCTGTGATTGGATGATGTATTATTTAGTGTGCTATTTTTCTGACTCTCCCAACGACGTTTCTATGGTGTATAAATTAACACGATTTGTATGCTTGCCAAGTGTTTGAAGAATATACTGTCTACGCTATATCAATACTTTTTCGTTAGTTCCTTTGAGTCAACGGATCAGAGTAGCCTACCATGTCACTGGTTCATTGTCTCGTTCTCGTGTTCTCAAGTAAGATAAATTCATAATAGTTTCAAGCGCATCAAGTGATGAGTATAACAGACTGATAATCGCAAATGAAACTCAACAATCTTCATAACTTTATAGTGAAAATACTTTACAGCTAAATGTGTATGTTATCTGTGTGGCTAAACATTGAATAGGTAGGAGTATTCGTGATTTGTAAGTTATGGTCACTGAACATTTATCAAAATGACTATAGAAATGAAATAAAAGCAAATAGCCCGACAAGTTCAGATGATAAAAATTCACTTTGATCTATTGCTGAACACAGTTGATCTTAATTGAATCAATGTGACTGTCTTGGGTGTATACACAGATTTTTCAAAACCTTGACCATATAATTAATACGTTGTTCAACATATATACGTTATACAATATAGTTTAAGGGAACATAATTCTTTGTAACCGAACTTGAAAGGTTCTACATTCACTGAGTTATTCTTTCTTCAATATTTTCTGTGTGATTGGCGCTTTTTAGCGTTTCGTTTAGCAAATTAGTTTTCTACTGGGTGGCGTCGCTAACTATTGTGTTGGTCACCAAGTATGCTTGAGGCTATTACGAGTTTACCTTAATCGATAAACGCGAACGAGACTTTTACCAGCGTCCAGGTAGGCTACCTTGAATCCCGAAACCGCAAAACAGAAGTCTCGATAAGCGTAGAAAGTATATTCTACAAAAACCCAGCAATCACAATCCAATCAAGCACACAAATCTCGTTTATTTATACATCATAGAAACGTCCTTGGGACAGTTGAGAAAGTAGCACACTAAAATACATAGCAGCCAATCACATCCATGGATTTTCCTGATGGGAAATGAAATCTCAAGGTCAACTGATCAGCCCATGCTGGCAAACCTGAAAACCAAAATAAGTCAGTTATCGAGCGAGTTTTGGGGATATAACATCCCTAACACTGACCCCTACACCCAACCATCTATCTTTATCTGGGTTTTGGGACAGGCAGTAGCTCTAGAGGCCGGTGCCAGATGGAGTTATTTTCTGTCGAGTCATTTCTAAATATGAATGTAAACTTATAATTTTTCTTGGATCAAACATGATTTGTTGAGTAATTTTATTTTTGAAAAATTTTTTATTTAGCGCTTATTTCTTTTAGTTGACAGTTAAACATTTATCTAGATTTAATGAAAATGATTTGCGGAGACTCTATTATTTTCAAAGGTGAAATCACCACTGGAAACCTCGAGGTACTTGGCGGCCGTTACTTTTTAGTCTGGGACTCATCAGGAGTGCGCATCCACGACCTCCGCACACAGAAATCCAATTTAAGACCTGAGGAAGCTCAACCTCTACACAACTAAGTCAGCATTGGTTCGATTTCCGTGGGCTAGAGACGTGGAAAGGCACTTCTGAGGAGTTCTGTACTTGGAAGAAAGTGGCCATTTAATGGTGATCTAGCTACGATCATTTCATGATTTCACTGATTGAAAAATTTATCTTGAAAATGAAAAATGATCAGTCAGTAAATCAAATAACAATATGATTTCTGTTTTATGTGCTTTTAGTCAAAGCTGATCATAATTGTTATCAAGTAACAAATTATCTTTAATTCATTTGAATCCAGCCCATGAATACTTAGGACTTCAATTGATTAGTCTCATTTGACAAATATACATCATGTGCAGATTACTTCGCTATTGCTTTCAGTTTCCACAGGATGCGCATTTCATTCTACTGGGGACTTATTTATAGCCGAATGCCCTTCACCTCATTGCGAGAGCTGATAGATAGTTAATTGAACTCAGTAGATAAGTGGATGACACACGATGGCGTTTAAACTGAACGATACTGTGGATCCAAATCCTCGGGGTAAACATCAACTCTCAGATGTGGCAGGTGCTGCATTCATCTAAAGAGGAGTTCGAAAACAGGACGAAACGAAAGTCTTGACTTGTCTATGACTAAACAGATAATCTTTCATTGTTAATCAATAAAAATGTGTGCTTTTTCTTCTACTTTTATTCAAATATCTATTTTGCAGATCCCAATGTTCTTGTCAAAGTTTATGGTACAAATCTTAATGATACAATAACAGTGAAACCTAATGACAATGTCGTGTTAGATTGTTATGCTTTAGGTAAGTGCAAAAAAAGGTTTTGTTTTTCCGAATAAAAAAAAGAAATCATGAATAAAGATTGATTTATATTTTTGAAAATTATATAGTTTGCTTAGGAAGTTAGTCAGCTACATATGTGGCAATTCGTATGTTCGCAACAAAATGCTGAGTCTTCTGACTAGCCTGAGCAACAATTCGAACATGTTCGGGATGCGGTTCTCAACCTCGAAATGCAAAATGTTTCTTCAAGATTGAGTTTCATCGGTATCTGAACCAGTGATAGGGAATAGAGTAGTCGAACGTATAGACCGCTTCACTTATCTGGGGAGTTTCATCAGTGCTGATGGCCTGGTGACTGACGAAATCTCAACTCGGATACAGAAGGCTCGGTTGACTTTTGCCAACTTGCGTCACTTATGGCGTAGGCGAGATGTCAGTTTGCTGACTAGAGGACGAGTGCACTGCGCAGTAGTTTGCTCCGTCCTACTTTATGGCTGTGAAACATGGCCAGTGAGAGTAGAAGATATTCGTGGGTTACTGGTTTTCGATTATAGGTGTCTCCGAAGCATTGCTCGAATATCGTGGGACAACCGAGTTAGCAATGCTGGTTATTAGGAAACAGGTGCTAGGTAAGGATGGCAGGTCAATAGATGAAGTAATGGGACTTCATCAGTTGAGGTGGTTTGGACATGTGTAACGTATGCCTAGCTACCGACTGCCTCAACGAGCTATGTTTTGCGATATAGGGATAGGTTGGACGAAAGCTAGGTGCGGCCATACCAAAGCATGGCACAAATCCATAAAGTCATTGACAAGTGGACTGAGTCATGTTGGTAGGTGTCAACTACCTGGTTGGGGTCCGCGAGATCATAATAATGGATGGTTAGAGACCCTGAATGACATGGCTCAAAACCGTTTGCAATGGCGCAGGTGCATTTACTCTTTGTGTTCTATGAAATTTTAACCTTGGTTTGGCCATCCCTAACTTTCTGCCAGCCTACTGCTACATGAGATCATATCACTCGTGGAGGTAGTCGGTCGTTAGGCAAACGTAACGCATATCCCAACCACATCATCGATTTATTTGCCATTCTTACCTAGTACCACATTTCTAACCGCAGTACTGCTTACTCAGTGGTTCCAAGATATTCTCGTAATGCTTCAAAGACACCGATGATCAAACACCAGTAACCTGCGAATTTCCACTATTGTTAGTGACCGTGTTTCATACCTGTATAGTAGGATGGAACAAACTTCTGAAAAGTAGACTCGCCCCTTGCTTAGCAGACAGGTATTTCACCTATGTCATAAGTGATGCAGTTGAGCTTTAAGTACCTTAAGTACCCCTACCGAGATTTCATCAGACACCAGGTCATTAGCAGTGATAAGACACCCAGTATAAGTAAAACAGTCAACACTCTCTACTACTTCACTGCTCTACATACAGTAAAGCAAATTTGACGTTCAAACTGAAGGGTTCGGCCTGTAACACTTCTGAGATTACTACCAGTCTCAAGCCCGAATAAAGGAGGAGGGTTGGAAATTGGGTTATTGACCCTATACAGCAGAAAACCAACTTGCTAAGAAAACTCTAACCAGAATGAATAATTCAAACCATTGAAACTCAGCCCCGGGGAGTTGAAAGCTCCTCATCAGCTTAATTACATTATTCTTATCAATAGGAAGTAATGATCGATCATTGTAGACGCTAGATCGTTACTGCCATACCTCTATTTTGTATTCAGTCCCACGTTATTAGTACACACAGAGATTGTACATTGAACATGACGTTATCAATGGATACATAGTAGGATGTATACCTTCGTTTTCTAAGATTGTTACTAAAACGAAACAGTTATGCAATCACTCCTAATTCTCGATAGTTATCTGTGTGCAATCCAACTAATATTGTGTCATATTTGTCCCTATTTTTCTCAAGAATCCTCAACTGGTGAACCAATTCAAGGTATGAATTATGCCTGGGAATTTTACAGTTATGATAATCAACCTATTCATACAAATCGTTTAGCCAATGAACTCATCACTGGTACAACTAATCTATCTCATAGTGGACAGAAACTTCAACTCAAAGGTTATCGATCCACTGGTGAAGGTGTCCGATTAAGATGTTTAGCTAAAGGTACAAATCAAGTGGAGAATAAAATACGTGAAAATCAAATCTATGCATCATCAGTTTATACATTTGAAACAGTGAAAGGATTTGAAGAGATTGACAAGAAGTTGGATGGTGATGTGAAACGTTATGGTTAGTTGATTTCAAATATTGGTGTGTGTGTTGCTGTGATTGTCAATGGTTGAATGATTAGCTTTTATTGTGTATACTTATATCATTTTGAACATTTGAGTAATAAATAGTGTACTGGATGACGACGACGCCGAGATCAGATGAAATAAAAGTGTATTTTTTAAGAAAGACGCTGTTTGCTAACAAATTTGTACACATTGAAATCATCAATCAATGATTGTTAGACCACCATTAGAAGAAACTTGGAATCATTGGACAGGCGTTTCATCCTGGTATGGGACTCATCAGTGGCAGTGCGCATCCACGACTCCAGCTTCTCGCAGTACCCGAACCCGGGGCCTTCGGTTTTGTGCTCAAATGCCTAACCACCGGACCACTGGGCCGGCATGTAACGGTGTCACTATCTAACTTCGACTGATTTAGAGATTTTGTGCGACCTCTAATTGATAAATGTGTATATTTTTTCTTTAGACTTCCCTTTTCAAAACAAGCAGTTTATTGGCTGTGATTTTTTTCCACGTCTTCTGATCGTCCAACACTTTTCTTTCCGGTAGTTCTTCTAGCCGACACTCTACTGTACACTACTTAGAACTCACGTTGTGAGTAGTATCTACCACAATAGTAGTTAGTACTTGATTTTACATTTAATCAGTACATAAATATGTACTTTCATCATAAGTTCATCAGTTCAAAAGTTGCTGGAGCTTGGAGACTTTCTGGGGTTTATTGATCGTCCCAAGTTTGGATAAACGAAGAGGGTTGAGCGTGCGGGTAGTGACCCGATCAGCATCGAAATCTGTGACATCGACAGTTAAGACGACCAATAGGAAGCAACATTTGAAGTGACATTGATAGTCAGGACAATCAATAAGAAACAACATTGGAGCACGTGACATTGATATTTAGGACGACCATAAAATTGACCAGTAGTAATTAACCAATAGGAATAGACCAATAATTTTCTTAGGATATTGGATGAATATCCTAACAGTTTGTGGAAAACAAATCATGTGTATGAGAAAATTGTGAATCACCTAAGCACCTATCATTGACAAGCCGATAAAAAAGTACGCGCCAATCATAGTTATGGTATATATCTATCCTGCTGATACACACAAAAGTAGACTGACTTTGAATGAAGTGTACGATCAGTATTCTCCAATAATCATACAATGATTTCTCACTTACCGTTTGACTCTGGGATAGTGTATTCACCTCTCTACAGCCTCAAGTTTACACTACAGACTTCGACTTCTCATTATTCCGCGACTCATTGTATGTACTGGTTCGTGTGTGTGCGCATATTTCTGTCAGCACAGTTATGTATTTCAAGCTAATAGTTTATCTGTTTCAACCCTAATCGGTATAAAAATCATAGATAGTATTCATAAAAGATTGTTTCCACTTTCTCGGTGAGCACGAAACATCAGAATGAAGACAGCTATTCCAGGCTCTCTTGCTCTCAATCGTTCTTCAGTTGAGATTAGTCCTATTTCGTATACAAGTTAATACTCGTTGGATGGTTCAACTGAACTTATAGGCGCTTAGTTATTAAGTGATTGCCATGTTTTAAACACAAACAAACTTGGATGCTGACTCAGTGACCAAGAGGTCTTGGGTCCGATTCCAGTGTGTGGAGGTGAGGATGAGCACTGTTGGGCAAGTCAGTCATTCTCAATCTGTTGAGTACGTTAGATCCCTAGAACTCGCTTGGAAAAGGTGCTAATTTTGGATTTTTTAGGTTTGCTTAGTTGACCTTTAGCTTACATTCCCACTCTGAAAATCCTTGACTGTTATTGGTTGATGAGTTATTTTAGTACGCTATTCTATGGCTCTCCCAAGGACGTTTCTATCATTGTATAAATAAGCTCAATTAGTGTGCTTGTCGACGTCGTATTTTCTGGGTACCTGTAGAATACACTTTGTACGCCTTAGCAAGATTTCTTGAAATAGTTAGCTGGGCCGGGGACGCTCGGATTAGAATAGCCTATCATGTGACTGCATCATTTGCCTTCGCTCTCGTTTATCGAGTAGGTAAACTCGTAATGGTTTCAAGTATATCAGTTGACGAGCATATCGCTTTCCCAGCTATGAGTGTACCATCTATCATCACACGTTAACTGGTAAACGTAATTCGGCTTTCCAGTATTTGGTTTGTGTGCTTAACAGCGTTTGGAATTGTATATATTCTATTCTCAGTGATGGCAGCTTATTTTAGTTTATGAAACAAAGAAAATGGAATGTAACTAACAGCGGAAATCAGAACTCACGTTTTTTTACTCTATCCAGGCCACGTCAACTAGATTTAATAACATTTTAGTGTCGATGTTTATTCTGGTCTTCAAACGGCATACCTTTCACTTCATTCTGCAATCCTCATAGGATATATATACATATATATTTATATATCGATAAAGAATGATCAAAACTTATTACTAAACTAAACTATATTTTCTACTTTACAGAACCAAGTCAATTACATCCTGAAGTGATTGGACTGAATGCTGATGGTACATTGACAGCTAAGGAAGACGAAGATGTTAAACTTCAATGTCAAGTTGTCGGTAAGTTTTTTTTTGATAATATAGACAGATTTAAGGTCAACATCAACCAATCAAGATTGAGGTTAGCAGAACAAGCAAGCTACAGGTCGAACGTGGAGAGATTCGAATACTTTACTTCGTCTCTCTGAAGTTTGTGCTAACGATGATGTTGTTGTTCAGAAGAAGAATAATAAAAGCTCCACAACCGAAGCATCCAGCTCAGAGAACGAAACACCACAACAATTAGCCTCCTGAGCTACTGATTTTCTCCATGATCTCGGAATCTTATCAGTTTGTGTTTGCATTTGCCCATCTGCTCCGATTCAATCATTATGACACAAGCTTAGACAGAATAGTGGTGGTACTTATGATGTGCGTTAACTTTCATGAAGGACTCGTCAGTCGTGTTGATCAGTCACAATTCTAAACATTAGTGTGGAGATTCAGAAAACCAATAAAAATGAAATAATAATCCTAAACTTATTGCATATACAAGTAGTTGTTTGCACTCAGTAGTGAGGCGGATAACTACGAAGTGGCAGCTGAAGCGAACAGCACTGGTTCCGAGTCCCAAAGTAAACATCAACTCAGAAATGCAGGAGTACATCCAGCGAAAGATGACTCTCAATTAGGACGAAACATGCATCCTAGATTCTACTATTACTCTTCTTGAGATGGTGGAGAAAATTTGTAGCTCAGGTGGATAATTGTGGTAGTGTTTCGTTCACTGAGCTGGGGGATGTTTTGATTGTGCGGCTTTCATTGTTCTTCTTCTGAACAACATCATCATCACAAACTTTAGATAGAAGTTGTGAAGTATTCGATTACTTCACGAAACACCACAACAATCATTCACATCTGAGCTACAAATTTTATCCACCATCTCAAAAAACATAGTATAAGTGCCTGCATCTCAGGTGGTGATTTTCACTCCTCGATTCAAACCTATTACTATTTTACTTCAAATGCCTTCACGTTAATCACCCTAGCTAACTGCGTCTAGATAGCCACCATTCACTCGTACAACGAGTTTTGAAATGGCTTGGATTATCAACGTTGTTGATGATTTGACTAAAATTCCAGTTCCGTCTTGGTCGGCACACCAATATCTTGTGCAGATTGCCTCGGTGTAATCATTATGACACAAGTTTACATGGGATAGATAAACTGTAGCTGTAAAATTGTATCACAATGGTTATATCATGACAATCCACATAGGATGCCCATATGCTAACCAAAACTGATTAACAAATTTCCGTTAAAATATCAACAACGGTATCAGCCAACCCATTTCTGATTGAAATTGTATCAGCATAGCACATCCAAGATCCCTGCTCGCTGGAATCGAACCCAGAACTTTCCGTCCCGCTCTCGAGCGTTTAATCTCTAGATTACTGAATCCGTATTCAACGGTGTTGATGTCTAACTAGGGGCAGCCAAACCAGAACATGGCAGAAATCCATGAAGTCATCGACGAGTGGACTTAGCCATGTTGGTAGGTGTCGACTACCTGGTTGGGATCCGCGAGATGATAACAATCCTTGGTTAGATACCCTGAACGACATGGCTCAAAATCGCTAGCAATGGCGCCGGTGCATTTATTCTTTGTGTTCTCTCAAATCCTAAGCTTCTGGATTCTTCAACCCCTCTAGTTTTGACTTTCTAAACTTATCTCATTGAATCATATTTCTTGAATATCTTCTAATCCTAACCTCTCCGATTACTTCAAATACCTTAACTACCTCTTCTATTATTGGTTTTGAATTGATAATTATATCTCTGTGCTGATGTGGTATGGCAACATGAACTGATGTACTTACGTACGAAGTTGTGCGTTGCATCTGACTGACTGACTGTCTAACTTTGATCAATCCGAAGTATTGCACAACCTATTAACCTAATATAACTGTCTCACTGCCGATAGGATTGAACTCCATTAGTCATGGCTTCTTTTCAAAACTCCGAAAATTTCCTCATGAAGGTAGTCGGTAGTGGAGACATTTAATGCGCATTTCTGATGAGTCCCATTCTAGGACGAAACGGCCATCGAGTGCTTTCAGGTTTCTTCTAATAGTAGTCCGACAATGATCGATTCATGATTTCACTGAAAAGTAGTATGACTTATTAAGTTGCTTGTAGATAACTCATACATTATGATACTTACTATCTTAAATATTTTACAGGTTTAACTGTAAGCGCCATTTCACGTACGGATAAACTCTACGTTGTCCCGTCATCTTACTGTAAGGTAGTTAGTAATAACAGCCAAATTGGCATTCATCTAATCATAAAAATATGCATATTTTGGAATAAGTTTTATTATCGAACTGATTGGAGGTGTGACTTTTGCTATGTCTTAGTTTTTTCTTTCATCGTGACTGACCGCACCGAACGTCATACATGCGTAACAGGATGAAGTGGCATTTCTGTCACAGAAAACTTTCCACTGTTCATGGCTTATTGTAGATAAACTGTAAATTGAGAGTACTATGAATAGTAGAAATTTCGGAGGTGAACACAATCCTTCCCAATTCATTCTGATTAATTCTCAGGTACAATATCAATCTGAAAAAAGACACTGGAGTTAATCTCCAGTTGGAATTGCCAGAATTTTCAATAACATTAAACTGACCGATGTCTAATTGAATTTTGGTACTTTATGAGTGAAAAAACCGACGCTCTAGTTATCAACTTTCGTCATCTATGATATCATTTCTTTTCCTAGCAATGCTGTCGTTAGGAAACGAGTTCTTGGTAGGGACGGCAAATCAATAGATGAAGTAGTGAAACTTCATCATTTGAAGTGGTTTGGACATGTGTTACGTATGCCTAACTACCGACTGCCGCGACGAGCTATGTTTTGCAGTGTAGGAGTAGGTTGGAAGAAAGTTAGGGGCGACCAGACCAAAACATGTCAGAAATCCATGAAGTCACTGACCAGTGGACTGAGTCATGTTGGTAGATGTAGACTACATGGTTGGGGTCCGCGAGACGATAGTCACCGATGGTTAGAGACCTTGAATGACATGGCTCAGAATCGTTTGCAATGGCGCAGGTGCATCCACTCTTTGTGTTCTCTCTAATTCTAAGCTTCTGAATTCCTCATAATCTCTACCTTTCTCCTTCTAAATTTATCTCACTGAATTATACTTCTCGAATCATATCTTTGCTCCTTAATCTTCTCCATTACTGCTAATACTTCTATTATTGCTATCACTCTTGGATTTGAACTGACAGTTGCGTCTCTATGCTGATGGGGCATGGCAACCTGAACTGATGTACTTACGTACGAAGTTCTGCGTTGTATCTGTTTGTCTCCGTCTGTCATTTTTTTCAAACTAGAAAGCATTGAATATCAATTTATTCACAGTAGTGAAATTCTTCAACAAATTCAAAACTCTAATCCGATTATTTATGATTTAAACCTACAATCATCAAACCGTTCACTGACTAAATTATTTTTAGACTGATGGAATCGACTAGTAACTGGTGTTTTTTTCAATGGCTGTGTTAAATTTGAAGTAGGGTTCATCATTTTCGTGATCTATGATCTGACTCCAATGTTTTACGAACATTCAAGTATATCATACGTAGGCGAACTCCGTTTGTACGCTGTCGGTAATGTGAAGCCAGATACGATTTCATAGATTGTTCATACAGGCAGACATGAGATTGAAAAGCGTACAATCAAAGCGAAGTGAGATGAAGAGGGCGGGTATAGAAACTCAATGCAATGAAGCCTGACTGAGTATTCGTAGTAATACAAAACAGGCTAGACAAATTACAGAGTTACTCAGTAAAATCGGAAAACCATATCGTAAATCGTTCATTTGCAAAATATCAGTTCATCATATCGAACTGGACTGTTCCTGTTGCGAAACATCAATCCATTGTCGCTATTCATTCGTTTCATACAAATTCCATTGTGTTCCGAACTCTTCCTTTCTTAATCTTCCCCCATCTTCTGCTGCCAGACATTACGTTGACACTCACGTCATATACTACTTATAAGTAGCTCGCACCACATTAGTACACACACATACACACACACACATTACACTTTTTTCTAATTGTATCTTAATTAATGTACAATGAACATTGAATTATCAATTCTTGTTTTATTCAACTAGATACATCAAATGGAATTCCAATAGAAAATGAACAATTCAATGTTGGTTGGACAATAGCTACTGGACCAGATGGCCGACCAATACCATTAGAGAATTTAGCTAGCACAATCCATGTCAATAATGATCAATTGAATTTACATGACTTAAAACCGACTACATTGAAATCTGGCGGTCTACGTGGTTATTGTTCATTGTATTTAAATGAAGCAAATTTATTGAATCCTGAAAAATATGAAAATCATACAGTCATATTAAATTCCGATGTATTTGTTATACATGTGAATCCGAAACAACCGGAAACGTACATAGATTCAGATAAGGAAGATGAGAAAACCCCGTATAAACAATGGATACCAGGAAAAGGTTAGTGAATTTGTTAAAAGATTTTGAGATGATAGTCAGGAGGAAAATACTTGGTACTTTGAGATGATGATGGAGTTGATTTTTGGTGAAATTTAATTTTGCGGCAGAGTTTTGGAGGTTTGTGTTTTTTTTACACATTTGAAATCATCAATCAGTCATTGTTAGACCACCATTAGAAACCTGGATGCACTGAAAGACCACCGTTTCGTCCTGGTATGAGACTCATCAATGGCAGTGCGCACCTACGACTCCTGCTCCTCTCAGGATTCGAACCCGTGACCTTCGGCATTGTGCGCGAACGCCTAACCATCCGACCACTGGACCGGCAACAGACGGTGTTAATGTCTAACTCTGACTGATCTACGGATTTTGCGTGACCTCACCCACTTGTCTTTGATAGTTAATGCCTACACCCGACAGGGTTGAACTCCACTGGTCACGTCTTCTCAACTAGAACTCCGAGAATTTCCTCCCGACGCTAGTGACTAGTGAGCACTGTTATGATATTTTGGGGCAAACTTTTGGAAGTTTGTGTTTTTACATATTTGAAATCATCAATCAATCATTGTTAGACCACTATTAGAAACTTGGAAGCATTGGACGGCCGTTTCGTCCTGGTATGGGACTCATCAGCACCGTTGGATGCCGGCCCAGTGGTCCAAAGGTTGGGCGTTCGCGCACAATACCGAAGGTCCCGGGTTCGAATCCTGCGAGGTGCAGGAGTCGTGGATACGCACTGTTGATGAGTCCCAAACCTGGACGAAACGGTCATCCAGTGCCTCCAGGTTTCTAATGGTGGTCTAACGATGATTGACTGATGATTTTAATTGTGTAGTAAGTAATTGATCCGAAAAATGTCATGCTGTCTCTGTGCGCTAAACATTTTGAACAAAACTGGTCACAACGCATTTACACTTATCAAGGTGTTTTATGTGAAAATCAATAATAAAGGTCAATCAAATAAAAGTTCAAATAGACACAAGGTGATAAGTGTAAACGAAGCAGAGAGAGAGAGAAAATTAACGTAATATTAGAAAGAATAAGAAAGGGCAGGAAATTGTCACATTTACACCCCTGGGCCATAAAATGGCTTCAAGATTACCAGGGTAAAGTCAAGGTTACAACAAACTGTTTCTGTACACTAAAGGGCGGGGGTTTAATTTATTAATAGCCAAGCCTTTCATAAAATTCCGAATTTGTCCTTTAATGTTTCAAGACAATGTTTTAAAAGGCTGTCATTATATCAATCTTATGTCCCTTCCAAGTCATATTTTTCTTACCCCTTCACACATACAAATGACACTTTAAAGTCTCATACATACAGAATTAACTTGATCGAAAATAACATAACATTTGACAGGTTCAGACTTGTCATAATGTCGACCTAACTAAAACTGTTCTGCTTTGCTTCCCCTTTACTAGTTACACTTAAGTTGATTTATTTTGGGTTATTCATTTAGTTACTCTGAGATGGTGCAGAAGATTTGTAGCTCTGAACAAGTGACACAGGAGACACAGGAAACACATCAGAAATACAAATTTCTATTCATTGTTATACTGATCATGATACCTACCAGTGAATCAACACAGAAAATTAAACAAGATCTTCAAACTTTGTATTACTTACTACCTGTGACAATGATAGTTATGTAATGAAAGTAACTTGAAGACTGCCGTTTAAAATAGTTTGTTTAATTGTGAAGTTTCGATTGCTAGTTTTTCTCCGGATGACATCATCAATGCCTAATTTATTACTTAATATTATACGTAACACTACGCAATATTATACTAATTGTTCAACACTATTTAATTTGAAGCCATCATTGTTGATATTGGAGTCCCTCCGGGTTGGGTATGGGATTAGCAACCCCATCCCGTTGAAAACCAGTCTACTCTGGGAGTTAGAAGGTCTTCGTCTAGTAGAGTTATGACGTCTCATGATGAGAGCTGAGTTCCTTCGGATGTCATGAGGCTGATGCCCCTTTTGACAACCGGCGCAACCATTAATTAAGCTATATGGAATGTTCGTACAATGTAGTAGATGTGGAAGAGTCATCTAACTCGTTGCATTACCAGCAAACTTGACCTGATAAATGATGACGGAATTTTTTCCGAAAAATATAGTTCTTTTTCAATTAGAGTAAAATCTATATACGCATAGTTAAACTATTTTTTCTTTTATTGCTCCTACATTTCAGATCCTAAAAATGCTGTCATCGTCAAAGTTTATGAATTACGACCAGATGGTAGTGTCCTAGTACCTCCAGGTGGTAATTTAAAATTGAATTGTCTGGCACTTGGTAAGTTGTGCATGCATGCATACAAACAAACAGTGATGATTATAATTGAACACTGAAAATATTTCAGTACTAATTATTATTTGATGAAAGGTTTTCATGTTTCCTCAACCTAGGCCATTAGTGGAATAAAAAGTGTTAACTTTATTATATCCTATCAGGAGGATGAAACTACCAAAATATCGAATATGTGTTTGAACGATAAAATAATATTAAACTGCGGTGAGAAGACTGAGACAGGCGCAGAAGATTGTATTATGCTAATTTACACTCTTAGTCAATTAAAAACGAAAATATTACATTGAACACTCTATTTGCACACCATCTTTGAGTCGTCGTGACTTCCAACACTCCATCCTTCTTCTTTAATTCCTGTTGTTGCTTCCTTTCCTTCCTGTTGGTACTACTCCATTTACTTCTTGCTTTTGTTCCATTTGCTTTCCGTTTTCCTCTTCTGACCGTTGAGACTTCTTCTTTCACGTCCCTTCTTATACTACTTATATCGTTCCTATAAGTAGCACACACCACAGCAGTAGATGCATTTTACTGGTTAAACAGATGTAGTTCGGCAAATTGTTTTATTCATTGAAAATCAACAATCAATCAGTGCTAGTAGGAGTTTGAAATATTGAAATGTACATATCAGTGTTACGCATGCACGTAAACATGTCAACTTGATATACTTGGACTAATACGAGTTTAACTTAGTCAGAATACGAGAGTGAGGATCCGACCAAACGACATGCTACTCTAATCCGATTATCCCAACCCCCATATTGAGTGAAAATAAGAAGACTTGATATGAAGTAGAACGTGTATTCTACAGGAATTCAGAAAGTACTCGGTCCGAGTCCAGAAGAGGATAAGGATCCCCGACTAGGGATACGGGTCCGGGTCATAAAATGTTACAGACAATGCGTATTTATACATTTAGGTCGAATAGGAAACACCATCGAAGTCTGTGATATTGACAGTTAAGACGACCAATAAGAAGCAACATTTGAAGTGACATTGATAGTCAGGTCAACCAATGAGGAACAATATTCGAGAATATGACTTTGATATCTAGGACGACCATACAATTGACCAGTAGGAATTAACCAATAGTAACTGACCAATAATTCTCTTAGGATATTGGATGAATATCCTAACAGTCTGTGAATACTTCGACTACTTATTTACTTACGAATGTTACCGCCGATTCTCGGCTGAATGTGTTCCTTGATCTGCGTCTTTTCCTTCGTCCCTGAGGTATTCCAAGTTAGAGCTTGCCCTGTGATGGGTGGTTTCCGCTATGTGTATCATAATCCACCTTCTACGCTTCTACCTGATTTCTTTCTCTGCTGGAATGTGGTTTGTCCTCTCCCACAGTAGATGGCTTGTCGACGGATCCGAAATACTTTGCGCGGTCAACTGTTAATAAACACTTGTATCCTGTGGATGATGGCTTTCGTCATTCTCTTAGTTTCTGCTCCACTGTCTTGAATAGTTCGTTCCACTGGATAGAAAATTAATCGTTCCCATGTTGTCAAAGAGTATTGCCACTTTTTCCCGATATAGTTTTGCATTCAATCACGAATCGATCATTGTTAAACAACCACTGTTTCGTCTTAGAATATGATTGGCCAGCAGTGCGCATGCATCCACGACATCCGCTCGCAGCAGTCGGACACAAGACTTCCGGTCGTGCGCGCGAACACTTAACCTCTAGGCTACTGACCCAGATCACTCTCTTTAGATATTAACACTGTGGTCTAGGGGTTATACGTTTCACGCGAGACAGAAATTCCTGGGTCGGATTACTGCAAGTATGGTTCGTCGATGAGCATTACTGATGAATTCCACAATAGGACGTGCTCCCAGGTTCCTAATGGTCATCTAACAATGATCGATTCATGATTTTACTGCTGTAGGATCCAAACTGAGGTTCGGACTGAGGAATAACTGTCTAGGTATATTAGTTACTCGTCTTGCACAGTTTAAGTCAAAAACCAAGTGATTTGGGTAAAAAACGGTTGTAATATTCATCATAAATATAAATATGCATCATTACGTAAACAATATTACCACAGCTATTCCACTAACAATTGTTCAGTTCATCAAATCAGCAGCAACAGATAACTGATATTCTATCCCTCCAGGATAGATCAGATTCGTTCGAAAGATAATATTTAGTTGCTTTATAACACAGAGTGTTTCATATTCTGGAAGAGTGCTTCAATTCACAATCAAAATGCACAATTCCAGTCAATGCAACCAATCCAATCAAAAGAGGAACAAACCAATATGGCTGTCGCCATGACTAAGTATCAGCTTAAACAACACAAATACAGTTCAGAAAGAAACACAGAAACTCAGTAAAAGCAAAAACAGATAGAAACTATAATAAAATACAAATATTATCATCTCAAAAATGGAATCGAACAGATTAACAAAATGTACAACTGAATTAATCAGTAAGGGAAAATTACAAATGTATACATGGAGGGATTTTCACATACAAAGCCTTTAGAAATGGATCATAGAAATGCTACTGAAATAAAATTTAAAAAGAATTTTAGATTTAATAGTGGTCATGAGATCTAATCATTTTAACTGCAATCTTAATTACCAGATTTAAAAATTTAATTCTGTCAATGTTAACGACTCATTATATTCTTATTTGATTTCCTTATGAAATAGACTGATGATTTGAATATTCTATTTTTATGTGAGCTATATTTCTAAATTGAAATGACTTGATCTATTTTTAGTGACTTAAGGTTAACTTGTCTCTACTGTTCCGTTGATATGGTTTGAATTATAATGTTGTTGATATTTTTACTGAAATTTGATCAATCTCGGTTGATTTAAGGGCATCTAATAGGGACTGACTCATTAAAGCCATCATGACGCAAGTTTATGTAGAATAAATGGAATGTGACTATCAATGGAATTCAGGACATGCGTTCTGTTCTAATTGGGACTCGCCCATCGCTGAATTTACGTGCAACCCAAAGCGGATGTTCACTCCAACTTGTTTCACAAATGAGTGGCTCCCTTAACTTTATAGCTAACTAAATCATGTATTGATGTTTGGAGCAGAGAGTACTGCGTTTGAGTCTTGGGAGTGAGGTGCAGGTAAATCCAGCTGACGAGTCTTGAGTAGGGTAAGACGCGCGTCCTGGATCCCGCCGCCAGTCATATTTTATACATTCCGTTTCAGACTACTAATTTTAATTACTGTTTAGTCATCATTTTTCTTTTAACAAAATCGATTGACGGATATATATATGGTTTCTAGATTTTCAATAGTTACAATACGTATTTACTTACGCCTGTTACCTCTCAACGACCAGCATTCTTCAACCTACTCTGTCCAGGGAATTCTTTTCCATTTTGATTCAATCGCTATTCATTCTTTTAACATTTGCCTCCTGTTCTCAGGTGGATGTGTTCCTTGGTCTCACTTATTTGCTTCGTCCTTGAGGGTTCCAACCAAGGGCTTGCCTCGTGGTGTAGTTGAGTCATTTCCGCGATGTGTGTCCTACCCAACTTTAGTGCTATTTTCTAAAATCTTCCTCAACTAGAACTTGGTAATGCTTGTTATTGTTACGCTCGTCACTAGGTACGCTTGAAACTATTACGAGTTCACCTTAGTCGATAAATGAGAACGAGACAATGAACCAGTGTTCAGGTAGGCTACTCTGATCCATTGATTCAAAAGAACTAACGAAAAAGTCTTGATATAACGTAGAAAATGTATTTTAAAAACATCCAGCAAGCACAGAAATCATGTTTATTTATACATCATAGAGACGTCCTTGGGAGAGTCACAAAAATAGCACACTAAAATAACGCAGTAACCAATCACAGTCAAGGGTGTTCTTGGTGGGAAATGTGATCTCAAGGTCAACTGATCAGCCCATGAATAAAATCCAAAATAAAGACATTTATTAAGCGAGTTCTAGGGGTCTAACAGCCCCAACAGGTTTGTTCTCTCTCACAGTAGGTTGTTGTTGATAGTGTCTGGTCAAAGGATCCCCAGTTTTTTGTGTAGATAATACAATCTATAAATGTATACATTTCTTGTTTTATAGATGCAGTAAGTTTAAGACGACTTACTTCTACTGATCAAATACCACCATTATTCACTTGGGAATTACGTTCAACTATTGGTGGTCAACTTATACCATATACAGAACAAGCCAGTGGTTCTATAATCATCAGACAACCATCAAAAGATCCTAAAACAGCTGAAGAAGTTGGTGTCAGTACGCTGGAATTACAAACTCTCCGACTTCCAGTGGATGCTCCATCTGGAGCATGGAGTCGTTGTATTGTACAAATTGGTCAACAGTTATTCACTTCACCATATTTTCATATACAACTGCAAAAAGAAACTACAATGGAAACTTATGCACCATTGCCTAAATCATATTGGAGTAAGTCAATCACTTCCATAGATAATAGTGTTGGTTATTTTATAGTATTCCGTAGATGCTTGCTCTGATTAGCGTTTCATGCCCTAATGCTTCTCCTTCATTTATCTGGGCTTGGGACAGGCAGTAACCCCAAATAGGATGTCAAGTGATGTCCCAGTGATTTACTTAACCTATTTTTGTTAGAATAACTTGTTTCGCATGCAAGTAAACACGTCAGCTTGATATGCTTGACCTATTGCGAGTTTACCTTAGTCAGAAAAAAGAGAGTGAGGATCGATGATCCGGCGACATGACAGGCTACTCTAATCTGATTGTCTCAAACCCCCCATTGAGTAAAAGAAGAAGACTTGATATGAAGTAGAAAATGTATTCTAAAAGCATCCAGAAAGTAGGACGTCCGAGTCCAGAAGAGAATCTCAGGATCCAGGAAGAGAGGATCCGGGTCCGGATCATAAATATGAAACAACATTGATAGTTAGCACGACCAACAGGAATTACGCAATTGTTGGTAGACAACATTTCTGGAAAAGTAATTGAAACCGAACTGATTACATGTTTCAAACAACAATGGGGAACGAA